TGGGCCCACGAGGGCCGTCCCCCTCCTGGATAGCTCTCAAAAGCCTCCAGGCTTGCTGTCCTGTGAGGGACAGCCCGAGAGGGACGATGGGCTGCGAGGGGTAGAGAGAGGTGCCACTGGGTGGCAGTTCAAACATACCGGGCATGGCGACCAACGCCGCGCATAGGAGCTGGAAGAGTCACACAGAGCTGTGGGGGCAGCTTAAAGGCTGTCACAATCTACAACTGTTACAGCATCTAAATGAACTCCTAGCCTAAGGAATGTCCGTCCGAGCATCATGGACCACACATCTCTCAACCCCACCCACATGGAGGGCAGAGGAATGGGTGACTTGGGATTGGGAGGATACTCCCGCTGTGATGGGCCCGCCATGGCTTTGCCCTGCATCAAACAGGTGGGCCCTCGAGGGGACTGGCGCCTGATGGACCCGTACAAGATAGAGGACGCGGGGCAAACAGTTACTAGTCGTGTCGCAAAAAGCAGTAGTGTGCAGGTCTCTGTCAAACTCAACCGTCTCTTAGAAAAGTGGGTCGTGGATGACGGTGATTACAGGATCCTTGAACCAACCGCACACTGTCAGGCTGTGTCAGCTGCAGGATGTATTGATCCGGCAGAATCGGCCTGGAAAACTCCTAACGGCAGCAGACCGAGTCGACAAGACGGTGTCAACCGAAAGAAAGATCTGCCGGCACGCCGACTGACCCCTGTGTCTCGCGCCGTGTCTGTCACCCATGGGAGGGTCGCCCGGGGCTCCTGTAACCTGTAGAGAAATCTGGTCTATCTTGACAACGAAAATAAGTCAGCACAACCAATGGGACCAACAGAACCTCAAAGCCAGGTGACAAGTCGCTGGAAGGAACAAATAAAACATTTTACTCATCCAAAACAATGGGGTTCGATCCACTGCATCCAGTCCCAGAAACAGGTATAGTGTCCGTGTCAGGAAAATCTGTTTCCCACCGACCGCACAATCAACCTACGATGTATACGTCTCCCTATCGGGTACCGCCGATAGCGAGCCCTCTGATCCCATGGAACTGCACTGGAACTCTCAGTGTCTGAACCGGACTCTCGGGCCCATTGAGGCCACAACTCAGAATCGAGTTTCACCATAAGTCTCCCCGTCACCGTCCCCCTCAGATAAAATCTCTAGACACGCTCCATGACAGTCCTCGTGTCGCCCCTGCTAGGCTACAGCCGAGTCCCTGATCAATTACGGTCCTGTTCCTGGTCAACACTGCCCCAACCCAGAAGTTCCCCTGGTCCACACCCACAGTCCTGGGCAACTGAACAGTGCTGTCTTGTTTAGGTATTGGCCTGTATTTTATCCTTTAGCTGGAGTCCCGTTGTCCCGGCCCAGCCCTGATGCCTCAGCCAGTCCGTCCTCAATCCGTGACCCCGGCCTGATCCAAGGGTGCCCTGGTTCGGTAGTCCAAAATGTTCTTGGCCCGAGTCCCAAAGATCTCGCCTGTCCATGCTCCGGTCCCATGGTCCCGGTCCCGATACCTCAGCCTGATCTCAAATGTCCCGTCTTAGTCCAAAATGTCCTGGTCTGATCAGGCAATCACGACCTGGGCTCCCGCAGTCCCTATACCTCGGTCCGCCGGTTCGTGCCCAAAGTCCTGGCTTGCCTGTGCCTGAGTCCCCGCGGTTCCTGCTCGCGCCCGTAATCCTGATCCGCGCCCGATGTCCCTGTCTGCGCCCAAAGTTCCCGCTCGCGCCTGAAAGTCCCTGTTCGCGCCCGAAGTCCCTGTCCGGACCCTGAAGTCCTCGTATGCACCTGAAGTCCCCGTCACCTGTGGCAGTCCCGTAGTCTCGGTCCCCTTACGAAATGCAGGCCCTCGCAACTCCCGGTCCACTTTCAAGATCCTGGCCCGCCGATACAATCACGGTCTCCCTTCGACATGCTTTTCCTCGCCCCAAGCTCCGACCGCGTCCGAGGTCCTCTCGTGCGGTGTGTGGGCGCAGACACGCGTGACCATGTACCCCTTACCCGACTGTGTCCTCGCGCGCGCATGCAGCTGCGCATCCACCTTCCCGGTTGTGCGCGCGTGTGCGCACACGGCTGCCCACTCCCCCGATCCCGACCTGCGAGTGGGCACGCGCTGATCCGCGCGACCGTTGGCGTCCCGACCCCGATCCTGACCGTGCAGGGGGCGTGCGCTGATGTGCGTGGCTACCCGTGCTCCGATCCCGTTCTACGCGCATGCTCTCTGATGTGTGCGGCTACTCGTGTCCCGACTTCAACTGCTCGACAATGCGTGCTGACGTGCGCGACTATTCCCCGCGTCCCGATCCCGTCTGTGCGCGGGGGCGCGATATCGCTTGCAGCTATCCTGCCTCGGTCCCGACTTTGCGAGCTGATGCACGCTGGCGAGCGTGGGTGCACGCGGCTATCCCGCTTCGATCCTGACCCAATTGCACGCAGGTGCTCGTCGAGGGTCACGGAGTCTCGCTCCGATTCCAATCGAGTGCGGCACACTGATGCGCTTTGCGCCCCCAATCCCAATTGCAATCTGTGAGCACCGATGTGCGTGGCACATCCCAATCCTAATCCAAATTGCATGCGGTGCTCGCTGATGCACGCGATGTGCGTTGATGCGTGCGGGCGCGCACGTGTACGCACAGTCTCTCCGCGTCTCGATCCACCAGCGCGCTCCCTCATCCCGATTCCCATTGTGTGGAAAAGTGCGTGCGTGTGCGTGGCAACTCCGCCCCAATTTGAGTGCGCGTGGGCTCTCCCGCGTCTCAATTTCGACTGCGAGCGAAAGAGCGCGCGTGTGCACAACAACTCTGCCCCGATTCGAGTGTGGGTGGGCTCTCCCGCGTCCCGATTTTGACATCACACGACAACTCCGCCCCGAATGAGTGCATGAGGGTGCGTGCTGACCCACGATCCCGATCTGCGTGCGGACGCGTGTTGACGTGCGATCCCGACCTGTACGCAGGTGTGCACCGACGCTCGCGACTGATCCTCGCCCCGACCTCCACTGCGGTGGACCGCTCGCTGACGCGCGCGGGTCTGTGCGTGGTGATTGTGCATTGTTGCGCGTCTGTGCGCGCGGGTGGTAAGCCCGTGCGTGGTGGCGATACACTTTTGCCCGCCCGTGTGCGTCGCTGTCAGGTCCGAGCGCTTGTGACTGCGGGCGTCTAGGGGCGTGGCTGCTCGCTGCCGCACGCTCGTGCTCGTGGCGACCTGGTCCATGCGCGGTGACTGTGCGCTGTTGCGCACCCGTACGCGCGGCTTCCCGGACCGTGCACGATGGCCGTGTTCCCGTGATCGTGGCTATGGTAGATCTGCGGATGTCCGCACACGGCTATGGCACGCATGTGCGGACCTGCTTTGCACACCCTCCCCTTACGTCACACCTTCCTCGTGCATCCTTCTCCCGAGCTGGTCCTCTGCTGGTGCGCCCGAGCGTGTCTTGTCCCGTGTCTCCCGAGCTCCTCTTGTGCGCCTCCATGTGCGCAAATGGCAAAATGTCCCGATCCTAGGCCCGACTGGGCTTTTATACTTCGTTGGGCCCCTTTCGGAGTGTACCTCAGTCCTCACATGTTGCGAAGCTGCCGACAAGTTGCAGCGCCCCGGTACCATGGCTCCCCTGAGCCTACGCCCGGGCGTGTTTGAGCCCCCGAAGGGCTTTTAGTGAAGGGAGCCTTTTTGTCAGGTACCGGGCCTTTTGCAGCGCCCTGGTACCGAGGCTCTTTCCAAACCTAGGCCCGAGCCTACCCAGGCTCTCGCGGCCCCCACACGAAAAATACCAGGGCCTTGCCAAATTTCGCAGGACCCATTCCCTAGGAACAAGTCCCACAGCTTGAGGGCCCCCTTCTCAACCTCTGGCCCCGTAGCTCCTCCCTTTAGCTTTACTTGGGGCCCGAGTGTCAAGGCCCAAAACGTGGTTTACAACAATTCCCATTTGCATTGATCTCACGATGAACTTTAGGGCTACTGTCTCTTAGTCCGCCCGAGGGCCCGTCTCAAGAGCCCTGCACCCTCTCTCATTTGGCCCATCGCCCGACACTCAAATGTAAATTTGGTCTTCTCGTTCTCGTCCCCCATCCGGAGACTCTGGCGTTTACTTCGGGGTCGTCGCGCTTTTATATCTTGACCGCAATGGCCTCCACAGTATCCATGAAGGAACCATCACTCAGATCTTTTTGCGGTCCACCCTTTTCCTGACGCGTCGGCCCTGATACCCATGGCATGAACCTGATATCATAGTCCCTCGATGTTGGCCACTGTCCCCCCCAATAGAACGGGTAGATCCGGTACCCGTCGAGTGTAATCACCAAGGAAGTAAAGGGCGGCGTAAGGCTAGAGCCGCCCGACAATGGGGAAGCATCTTAAACTATTATACCACCCAACTAGGTTACAGGCTGCATAGATGGTCTGCAAATACTGTTGCATGCTGCGCCTGCACACGGGCCCCAGTTGCAGGGCCCGACCATTGCGGAGGGGCCCCCAGGCCGCTCACCATCCAGCGCGCAACCTGGAGGCCCACGGCGGCCCTCTAGGCCGCAGGGATAGGGTGAGGCAGCACTCACTCAATATTTATTTATTTATATATTTATGTGATGTGCTGTCCTATTTTTGTTGGTTCATGCACCGTTTCGGACTTGCAGTCCCCAAGGCACGGCCTTGGGCTGGGTGCACCGGACGCAGGGCCGAAACAGGCCCAGGCGCATTTTGGCGCCCTGCTGCATCCGGACGCAGGGCCGAAACAGGCCCAGACGCATTTGGCGCCCCGCTGCACCAGCAGCACAGTCTGGGCCCCGGTAGGGACCTCGACGGTGCGGGCTGTTCTAGGCCACACAGCAGGTTACCTAGTAGGGCCCAGCACACTATATAGCTGGGCCTCACGCCGGGCAGGGGGACAGTTCGGTCGCTCACTTCTTGAGCGACACGCTGCTGGATGGAGGCTGCGCTATGCTATTCCAACGCTGCGCTGCTGGGCTAGGGAGGAGAGGCGCACGGGGTAGAGAGACAGGCGGTGGCCTACCTGCAGCGGTGGACTTGCCTGGCGCCATAGCTGGGACTCCGCGCGGTGCCTGCACAGGGCGACGACATTGTCAGCATGACAGCAACTACCCGCAGGTGAGACAGCGAGTAGGACGACATCTTCTTCTTCCTCCTCACCCCTCCATCTCCTCTGTCTCTCTCTCTTCGTCCTTCCTCCTCCTCCTCCTCCATCTTCTTCTTCAGAGACGAGAATGAGAGAGGCTACTGGCAGAGGATATCGACAGAGGTTATGGTGGGCATGTTGCCTAGGATCTGATTCGACATTTCTGAGGCAGACATTGATTGGACATAGGCAAGGGACTATTTTGGACTCGCTATTGCGATCTTGGACTCCTCCCTCGCCTCCATCTCTTTCCTTCCTCTCCCTCCATCCCTCGTCTATGGTATCTCCCCATGTGCGTGTAGAAGGAGGGACCTTTCTTCTTGGTGTGCAGTCCCTCCTTCTCCTCACACATGTGTGATGTATGATGGGATGTCGTGTCAGTCCCGGTTAGGTCAGGGCTTACCTTGAAGTCTTCCACTGCGCTATCGAGTGCCATTTCATATGCATCAGGATGTACATTGCCTGTTGATGTTTCACTAACATCGCATTGCCCATTCAGTCCTTTTCATAACATTGCGGATCCTTGGCTGTACATACATTGCCCAACTGGGCATGTATCAGTTGGTATCAGAGCCCCGCACGTGAATCAGGACAACCTGATCTGACATGTGTGCGGGGACTATTGATTGATTAGTCCCTGATCAATTGATTGATTGATCCTGGATTGATTAATTAATTGATTGATTGATTGATCACGGACTGATTGATTGATTGATCACGGGCTGATTGATTGATTGATTGAATGATTGATTGATTGATTGAATGATTGATTGGTTGATTGATTGATTGATTAGGACACACTAATTAGTCCCCAAAAACGCGGATTTTGACCTAACTGCCAAAATCGAAATTTTGTTTCTTTTCTTGGATTTCGTTTTCCCGCTATTTCTGTTCGTGGAAAATCGCAATAGCGTAGCACCTGAAAGTTTCGTTTTTCGTCTCTTTTGAAATTCGAAGTTTCGTTGCTGGAAATCCGGAATATTGTTACGGACATTGTATGCCCTTTTGCAATTTCCCGTCATTTCGAAAATTCCGTGAATTTTTGGAATTTCCAAAATTCATTATTTCGATTTTTTTTGGGAAATCTGTTGCGTCAATTTTTTTAATTTTTCATGCATTCTGGGGTAACGGAAATTCCGGAATTTGATTATGACCATTATTCCAAGATTCTGAAATTATTTTTACGGGAAAACCCTCTCGCAGTTACCTTTTTTTTCTTAACTGCGCGTACTCTCATCCGAGTGATTCTGAATTTATTATTTTTTTGGAATACTCTGAACTTGCGGAAATTTTTTTCTTTCGTAGTTCTGTTATTTTATTATTCATTATTATGATTCATTTGCAGTCTGAAATTCGGAAAAAAAAAAAAAACATTTCTTTCAGATTATCTGTTGTGGGGAAGATTAGGAGACCTACCGAACTTGCAACTTCGATTTTTTTTTCGTTTCCTCGAAATTTTAAGCATAGTGGCTCCTTATCTAGGCGATCCACAAGATCCCATACCCCCATCTCTCTGCTTCATCTCTTCTCTTCTTCCTCTTCAACTGCCCATCGGATACTCCAGGCTGCAGCATTGGTAAGTTAGCACGCCGGTGTGACCACGTCAGCAATCTGCGGCACATGACCATACTCCCTCACAAACAGCAGAGATGGAGCAAAAGCAAGGCAAATCTGACAAGGCCTATGAGACACGAATGATGACTCTGATGGCGGAGAGTAAGCAGCAGCAGCTGCACGAAAGGAGGAAGAGGCAGAGAGGCTTCGTCTTCTGGCGAAAGAACAATGGCAGTAGCACGCAGCAGCATCAGCTAAGGCCGCAGATGAAGAACGCGTACGGCGACCGCAAATTCTATTCAAGGAGGAAAGTGCGGTACACACGCAGGCCAAGGATTGGCAAAAGGAGGCCGAGAGTGGGGAATCCGCTGACTACGGGAACGAGCTATCTCAACTGCTCAACCGCGTCTTGGACCTTTTCGCTACGTTCATTGCACAGCAGGAGGACATCCACTCTCTCGACCACACCAACCACGCGCTACAGCAGTCAGTGGATCGGCTGACCAAGCGCGTACAGCAGCTGGAGCAGCGACCCGTCGCTCCCTCCATCGTCGGCCCCTCCGACCTCGCCGATCGTGTCAACGTCTTGGAGATAGACGTGGGAACACTCAACAATGGGGCACAGCGGCTGGAGCAGCAGGTTTGCGCAGCAACAGCCGGCCCTACCACGTCGTCATGTGAGAGCATCCCCAAATTTGATGGGCTCCCGATCTTCTGTGATGCATCGAAGATGGACCCTATACCTTGGTGGGGCCAGTTCGAACTCAAGCTGGACATCCACAAGGTCGTAGACAACAATCGACACGCATACGTGTACTCCCGGTCAGGAGGTGTGTGTCAAGCATGGCTGGACAACATGTTGTCCGCACACGCATGCACAGTCTACAAGTTGCACAACTTCATCACCTGGGCCGATCTCCTAGCGGCATGGAAGAAACGATTCGAAGTAGAACAGCCCGAACATCAGGCGATGGACAAGTTGCTGACATTCTTTCAGAACAGCATGCCGAGCGGAGACTGGATATCCAAGTACCGACGCTTAGCGAGCACTCTCGACGGCATCACGCTTTACTTCATTAAGAGGTCGTACCCGACCTTGCAAAACAAGTTGACTCAAGTCGCCGAGAATCTCACCAGGAGTGAGGAGCTCTTCAACAAAGCCGCGCAGATCATCGTGACAAACATGGAAGTCAAGAATATTGCTCGTTCGTCATCTGCCGGCCAGGGCGCGTATCAGCATCGGTCGATAGTGGCCGTGGTCGCGGAAGCAACGCCAAGCGACCCTTCAACTTCAAACGAGGCTGCCTCTTCTAACGAGGGAGACAGATTAGCAGCCGCCCGGAATGGTGGCCGCCCTGCCAAAGGACGAGGTCGCGGCAAATCGAAAACAAAGACCACAGGGGGGGCCCGGACAAGTAGCTCCAGCTAAAGACCCTTGGACACATTATGGCGTTTCGGAAAGCGTTTACCGCATCCACACCAAATACCGATATTGTTTGTGGCGCAACAGCGCAGTGCGTGACACCGCAAGCTGCCCCACGAAAGCCAAGGGCACTTCCCAGTCGGGAAAGTGAGCACCGCTGAGAGTGATGCGACGACACTCTCGACGCCTTCGGAACCAGTTGTCGTGCAGGTAACCTCCTTCGGTTCCGGGGCACATTTGAAAGTCGTAAGTCCTCCCATCCTTCATTCTTTCGAGGACTATGCTGGCCCGCTCGTACCTTCACTGAATTCACGAGCCCAAGGACAGGTTGTATGTGCGGTTTCTTCTCTGTTCGGAAGCAGCAGCATTGAGTCGTCTTCAAGTGGACCTTCACGGGATTCGGCGTGTGCGTTCAATATAGAGAACTTCGACCCGTTGACGCCCGAGGATTTCAGATGGCTTCCTCTCCCTTCCACCGGCTGCTTACCGGAACCGCAATGCGCAGCACTTAGCACTCATCTACATACATACTTGGCCTTCTATGCACCACCAACTTCGCCGACGGATGACAAAGTCGTGGTGACATCCTTACGTACGTTACCAAGGTCGCCCGTGAGTTTCGCATGCAGTGGTATGATGACAACAATGCATTGCTCCTTTATGTCCGCATCCAAGTTGGGCAAGCGTCCTGCTGCGCGCTTTGCTGGATAGCGGCACGACTCGCAATTTCATCAACCAGTCCTTTATCTAACGGGCCGGCCTTGGCGCACAAGTTCGAAGGAAGGCACACCCTATAGCGATCAAGTTGGCGGACGGTCTGACGCAAGAACTCCTTGATCGCTACATCGAGGCCATACCCGTCTATTTCGCACCTCATGCATGCGAACCGATGACGTTTGACGTCTTGGACACAAACTTCGACATCATTTTGGGAATGCCTTGGCTTGCAAGTGCGGATCACAAGGTCAACTTCCACTAGCAGACACCTACGGTCCGCGACGCCTTTGGCACCAAAGTGTTGTGTACTATCCCTCTTCCGCACCCTTCGATCCGGTGCCAAGTTGTGATGGCCAAGTCATTCCGGGCTACGTTCGCTTATGGGCGGGCCGACGAGATAGGCCTATGTTTTCTTCGAACCGTCGTGGTAGTCGAATCTCCTCCCACAGATTTGTCTTCAGACCCCGTGTGGTACAGTTGCTTGATAAGTTCGCCGACATCTTCGAGTCACCTACCGGTGTGGTGCCGGATCGGCCGATCTCTCAAGAGATAATTCTCGAGGCCGGTGCCGTGCGGCCGAAAGGTTGCATCTATCGCACGAGCGAGGAGGGACTTACAGTACTCCGCATGCAATTCGATGACTTGTTGGACAAAGGTTGGATCCGGCCTAGCAGCTCACCATATGGGGCGCCAGTTCTCTTCATACGGAAGAAGAACAAGGATCCTCGCCTATGCATCGATTACCGCAAGGTCAATGCACAAACCATCAAGAATGCGAGACTTCTTCCTCGTATTGACGACCTTTTGGAGCGGTTGGGCGACGTGAATTTTTCTTAAAAATTGGATTTGAAGTCAGGATATCATCAGATTTCGATACGCCAGCAAGATCGCTACAAGACCACGTTCAAGACGTGGTACGATCATTTTGAGTGGCTGGTCATGCCTTTTGGCCTCACCAATGCCTCGACGACTTTCCAAGCGGTGATGGCCAACGAGTTTCGCGCAATGCTAGACCGATTCGTGCTGGTCTACCTGGATGACATCCTGGTCTATAGCCGGACCTTGGAGGAACATCCCAAGCATCTTTGACGAGTGTTGGAGACGCTCCGTCGCACCAAGCTCAAGGCCAACCGCGACAAGTGCGAATTCGTGCGTCAAGAGTTGGAATACTTGGGCCATTTTGTCACACCGGAGGGCATCAGTCCGTTGCCGGACAAGATTCAAGCCATCCA